TCTACTTGTTGAGCTTTTAGGTCAAATTTAAAAATATCTTTCAGATTCTGGTCAAAAGACTCAACAATTTTGTCCTTTGTGAATTCCATGCTGTCTGCTGTCTGCTCCTGTCACTTGTAACACTCTTTGGCAAGTTACAAGATTATTTTTAGATTTGTCACAATATATAAATAAAACTGCTTGAAAAAAATATTTTTAATAATACATGTACTTTATTTGATTTTTTCAAAAAAAGATGAGTCACTTAATGATGAAATGAAATTAAAATTATAAAAAGCCGTTTGCCGTTGTTTCGTCACATGAAGCGCTGTCCCAGACAGGCTCCGATGGCCGTCTGCTGTAGTCACGTGATTACACTCGTAACTAAAAGAGCCAAGTCACGTGATAGAGGTCGGCTTCAAAACGGCGGCGTTCAATCGGAGGTTTCACTTCGGCACAGTTTTAACGTGAAATAGTCTCATTTACACGGGCAAATTTGCTTAAAGCTTGCTGTAATCAGTAACAGATATATTTGTGAGAACATATTTGTCTATTTTTTCCTGCAAGTCGAGGTAATTTTATTACAATCACAATTTTAATGACACATAACTGGCATATTTAAAAATCTGTGCATTTCTTTAGGGAAGGGAACTGCAGCTCTCTGGTCGCCCCGCAACGTATACCACGACCAAGAGAGCTGCATAAACTGCAGCAAACAAAACCAATATGTTTTGTGATTTCCTGAGAGTTGGCCAGTGATTAAACACACCCGGGAGTATTGATATTGATTAGTATTCACATTGGCGTACTCGTCCACGTTATTGAACTTAAGTAATAGGCTCGATCATGCTGTGGAAATTGGATATCAAGGATTCTAACGTCTCGCGCAGATCGGGCTTGAATCTTCAGTAAACTCCCTTTAAATCATCAGCCACAGTGTTTACATGTTTGCAGCATTGTTATGGTATTTTGATGTATGAAATATCAGGATAATATATTACAAACCGTGTATGAAAAAAAATTATATTATTTTATAAATATTTTTGAATCTTAAAAAATAACATTTAAACATATTTATATAACGTCAATTCGCACGGCGCTTGATGATTGGCTGGCTGGAAGCAACTGTGATTAGCAATAATCAATATGTATAAAAAAAATGAAAATAATTTTTTTCTGTTTTACAGTTTGTGTTGATTACATGCAGAACCCAGCCCTCTTATGTTGTGACAAATGTTGTAACTGTATTGTTCTTGAGCGTATCACCATTGTTTCATTGGTTGCTAGTTCGTATAGGTTTAGTAACACTCCGTGTACCACATCTAATCTTTCAGGACAGCCCGGCATTGGGTGAAATCCTGCTGTCCCTCAATTATCTGCCATCTGCAGGCAGATTAAATGTTGATGTCATCAAGGCCAAACAGTTACTACAAACAGATATGGTAGTGGGCTCAGGTCAGTTACGTTGTCGTCCTTCTTGTTGCAAACGTAGAACATAATATTCCTTAATGTTAATCAATGCACCCACCCATTCATGAGTTCATCATATGACTTCACATAATTTGACCTAATGTATTCTTTATATGAGATCATCTCACTTAATAAATACATCAACGGAATGCACATAAATTTTACCTGATGAATTCATCCAATGAATTCACATGTCACGTAATACATTCATCGAATGAATTTACGTGTTTCCTAATGTAACCATTTATCAATTCACACAATGTCATCTAACGAATTATTTTTTTACTAAATAAATTAATCCACTGAATTCATATTTCACCTAATGTATTCACATGCAAACTAATTCGTTATTCAAATAAATGTCACATAATGTTACAATGTCACTTAATGTATTCATCTAATGAATTCGTATAATGTACTCATCTAATGAATTCACACAATGTCTTCTATTGAAATCATCTACGTTGAGTCTGATTCAATCTCGGCACTTATTACAATCTTTAAAAATCACGACATACATTATATCGTTTATCATTGTACCAAGATACCCCGTCATGCACCACTTCAGAATCTCCAGCCACGTAGTCGTTGCCATGGTCACAATGTGTCTTTGATTTAATCGGTTCTTATTCTCCTTGACAATATTTCAGATCCATTTGTCAAAATTCAGATGTTACACGGATTAAAGTTATTCAAAACAAAAAAATCATCTACAAAAAGAAATACCATCGATCCCGTGTTCAATGAGTCATTTAACTTCAATGTATCTCCCGCCATGCTGTGCGATACAAGTTTGGTTCTGTCAGTATGGGATTATAACTATAAATGCAGAGATGATTTTGTTGGACAGTTGGCCTTGGGCAGGTACTCTTCAGGTAAGTAATTACAACATACATACAGGTATATAACATAATAAACACCTGTCAATGAGGTTATAAGGGTTTAGTTGATATTGGACAGGTACTCTTCATGTAAGTAATTACAACATATATAATAAACAACACAATAAACACATGTCAATAATGTTATAAGGGTTTAGTTGATATTGGACAGGTACTCTTCATGTAAGTAATTACAACATATATAATAAACAACACAATAAACATCTGTCAATGAGGTTATAAGGGTTTAGTTGATATTGGGCAGGTACTCTTCAGGTAAGTAAATATAACATATATAATAAACAACACAATAAATACCTGCCAATGAGGTTATAAGGATTTAGTTGATATTGGGCAGGTACTCTTCAAGTAAGTAAGTAATTACAACATATATAATAAACAACACAATAAACACCTGTCAATAATGTTATAAGGGTTTAGTTGACATCGGGCAGGTACTCTTCAGGTAAGTAATTACAACATATATAATAAACAACACAATAAACACCTGTCAATAATGTTATATGGGTTTAGTTGATATTGGACAGGTACTCTTCATGTAAGTAATTACAACATATATAATAAACAACACAATAAACGCCTGTCTATAATGTTATAAGGGTTAATTAGTTGATATTGAGCAGGTACTCTTCAGGTAAGTAATTACAACATATATAATAAACAACACAATAAACACCTGTCAATGAGGTTATAAGGGTTTAGTTGATATTGGGCAGGTACTCTTCAGGTAAGTAATTACAACATATATAATAAACAACACAATAAACACCTGTCAATAATGTTATAAGGGTTTAGTTGATATTGGGCAGGTACTCTTCAGGTAAGTAATTACAACATATATACAGGTATATAACACAATAAACACCTGTCAATAATGTTATAAAGGTTTAGTTGACATTGGGCAGGTACTTTTCAGGTAAGTAATTACAACATATATACAGGTATATAACACAATAAACACCTGTCAATGAGGTTATAAGGGTTTAGTTGACATTGGGCAGGTACTTTTCAGGTAAGTAATTACAACATATATACAGGTATATAACACAATAAACACCTGTCAATGAGGTTATAAGGGTTTAGTTGATATTGGACAGGTACTCTTCATGTAAGTAATTACAACATATATAATAAACAACACAATAAACACCTGTCAATAATGTTATAAGGGTTCAAGTTTTCATTGGGCAGGTACTTTTCAGGTAAGTAATTACAACATATATAATAAACAACACAATAAACACCTGTCAATAATGTTATAAGGGTTCAAGTTTTCATTGGGCAGGTACTTTTCAGGTAAGTAATTACAACATATATAATAAACAACACAATAAACACCTGTCAATAATGTTATAAGGGTTCAAGTTTTCATTGGGCAGGTACTTTTCAGGTAAGTAATTACAACATATATAATAAACAACACAATAAACACCTGTCAATAATGTTATAAGGGTTCAAGTTTCCATTGGGCAGGTACTTTACAGGTAACTAATTACAACATATATAATAAACAACACAATAAACACCTGTCAATAATGTTATAAGGGTTCAAGTTTTCATTGGGCTAGTTTTTTTCAGGTACGTAATTGTTTGTTTGATTGGTTGGTTAGTTGGATGAGTGATTATTTAGTTGCTTGGTTGATTGATTGGTTAATTTTACTATAGTATATATAAATATAGAAGGTGTAAATTGAAATGCAGTTCATTGTAGTATATATTGTTATAGTATGATTTAGATGCAACTGAATTTATAAAAAAAATGCACAAAATGCACTACCGATGTAGAAAGTAGAAATATGAATGCATAGAATATATCGAGTGTCGTGTATGTACTTCCACAATACAGTTGTTTGTTTTGTTGTTGGATTGTATGCTTTATCTCATATGGATCACTTATATAATTGAGTTAATGCGGGGAGGGTCGTCACTGCGCACGTGCGGGAATTGAGTCCCAAACGATGATAACAACACACGCTAAGAACGCAAAGGCTCATGGGTAGACGCTTGTTGATACAATGATACGCTATGGCCACCTGACGCATGCGCCGGTGACCTCACCCCGCTTAGGGATTGTCTGTATTATTAAATGACACGTGATAATATTTTTTTTCTGTGTTTTGTTTTAGGACCAAGTGAAATGACCCACTGGAATAGAATGCTACATTGTCAGCGCTCACCAGTGGCACAGTGGCATTCACTGCACACACGCGAGGAATGTGAACAGATATCGCCTGCTTCTGCGGCTGTGTCTTGAACCCGGAACCACTTAGTGGTGTTTAAATATATCTAATGATGCATACACTGCACAAAAGCTGCACTGACTGGCGTCGAATTGTATGTGTCTACGTTGCCAACGCTGGTGGCGCTGCTTACATTTCAGCAGTTTGCGCACTGCCAGTCACAAGAATTGAATATTTACATTTATATCATCGATGTATTTTAAGCAATATTTAGCGGCAAACAACATCAGTATACGCCTTTTATCGTCATAGCGTTTTGTAGTGGAGGCTACAGGTGTACACAAAATGAGATTACTTTTTGAGAAATCTTGTCACTGCTGTTGAGTGTATCACCTTAATTACATACTACATTGTGTATCGCTCAAAGTATGGTAGAATATCTTCACGGCACACTTAATTAAATCCCGTGAAAGCAAAATATCATGTTTTGAAGAATATGTTGTTAATTGTAGGTATAGTTTGTCGCTTATTTTTTGCGATTTGTTCTACAGCCATTCGTGAGAAATGAAAATAGAGAATATAGTATTTTAATTTGTATTATACGACAAATATAAACAGTATTATTGAAAACTTAGTAAACCAATATTTACTTCTATCATTGTGCAACGTGATTGTGAATCTTGATGCGCCCTCTACGTTTACATTTGGGCATAACAAATATGCAAATTACGTTATCAATGCAGACGCTTCAAACCTTTATAATTGTTTATTGTTATATCACGTGACACTAAATTATATAAAGTTTGTTTTCCTTATAAATTTTGTACCAAAGTACTATTATAACTTTAAATGTAAGAGGTCATATTATTTGTGTACGAAATTATTTATTATCTCGCCGCTAAAGGACAACAACACTCTTTGAGTATTTTTTCCCATTCTGTTTATTCCGACTTTACTTCTCTATGTTTGAACTTTAAGAACGCATGCTATGATTGGATAACTTTTTTATTTTATAGTAAGATTGTCCAATTGTAATGCTTCACGGATGAATTTAGTTCTGTATTTTATTTGGGGTACCTATAGTTAAAACTGTGGCAGACTTTCGTATATCTAATGTTGTTTAAAAAGTGGATCGTGGACGAGGTGTATAAAACGGCGCAGTTCATTTTGATGCAATCGGGGAGAAGCGCTCTTATATGTTCTTTGTTGACTGTGAAATTGATAACGTAAACGACAGTACTCAAAATAAGACTTATTATCATTTGATGTGTCTGTGTGTTTAATAGGTGACTAAATTGAACAATTTTAAGGAGAAGGGTATCTGTAAAGTTACATATATATGCATTGTGATATGACAATTTATCAAAGAATTAGTAGAAAAATTATATTATGTTGATGTTCGTCTACGCAATGGCCATGATAAATAACTACCGCTTTATATACCCGCTGTGAAATTCAACAATACCCTTGAACTGGTCACATGGTACAATCCGAGTGGACGTCATTGGCCTGCAAAGCAGTCGCGTCAGCCATGCGTTGTTATAATGTTAATATGTGTATTCTGTAATCACAGTCACGTGTATATGCCAATAAACATAACATCTTGGCAAAGTTGGTGTCATTTATTTCATGAAAACAAAGGAAGCGAGGAGGTAAAAACAATGTTTTTTTCAAAACGTTTTCAGGGCAACCCACCACGACCGAGTTGCTAATGGTCAACCTTTTTTTTTGATGACAATACAACATATTGTATTTACAGGAATTTGTCTTTTTTTTCATTGCGTTTTTTGATGTCTAAGTTTGGAGCAACCAAAGCCGCCAGGAAAATGTTGCTGAATTTCAATTAGTTGTATTGACTATCTACGTTGTGAATATTGTTTTTATCAATTATATAAAAAATCAAGGTTAAAGTGTGTCAACAAATACAATGTTTTGTTATAACAGTGGTTAACAAAAAGTAAGCACAGTCGAATAGTCAGAGTGTTGTCACGCTGCCACGAGCGAATCGCCATTGATTAATGATCATTATTCACAATACAATAATACAGGGAGGGTGGCGGGTTTCACCCTGATATATTCTAAACGAAAACATAGTGTATGCTTGCTAAAAGCTCTTGAAAAGCTAGGAAATATTTTTTTTTTTAAATACACACTTGACGAGCTGCTGGTTGTGACGTTGCAACGCCTAGACTGACTAAGTCACACAATACACTACCACAAGCCAATGCGGTATGCCAAATGCGCCCTCTGACAGGTGCCACAAAAACATCTATTTCTGGCTTTACTTCGTACCGCAAGAAATAACATATTTCTTAAGATAGTGTTTTATTTTGTAATTTTCTCAAAACAATTTACTGTAACAAACAAACAAACGCTATTTCATGGTGCCGTGGGACAGCAGTCATGCGATTTATGACCATCTTTCCTAAAAAATATGAGTAGGCTTCGATTTTAATATGCATGGATTTTTTACTTTTTGATCATAGAATGTGATATGACATGTTTTATTTTTCATTGCGATCTGCATACATGAGAGCTAACAAATCAATACATGATGATATGTTAACGACGCCATAATTAAACCACGTCCTCGTAGACCACCATTAATGTTATTTTCATTATTTATTCACAATAAAATACGCCCACTTCAAACATTTAACAATGCCAACTTAGACCACATTTTATGTTAACCACGCCTAGTGTTAGACTACACGGACTTTCACCGCGTCCACTTAGACTACACGTGTAAGTCAGGATATTTATAAAATTAGTCATGTTATATGGCATACTTCTTCCTTCCTTCATTCATTCATTCATTCATTCATTCATTCATTCATTCATTTATTCATTCATTCATTCATTCATTCATTCATTCATTCATTCATTCATTCATTCACTCATCATATAATAAAATGCAAATACCCAGAATTTATTTATTTTGCAATAAATTGTACTCTGGGCAATATAACAATACTGACTTTAAAACGTTTGGTGTAACCAGCCAAATTTTCGAAGAAATTGATGGTTGTATTTTCGTGGATAGTGGCCATGTTCACAGAATTAAAATGGTTTTAGTATAGGTTACTATGGCATAGATATGTTGCCGTATCTCAAATTGTAATCTGATGAAATAGGCTGAAAAAATCATATATTGTGAATATTGCTTTTCTCA